ACTAACTTGTTGTCGTACATTAGATTCGACAGCGACGAAGGATGCATGAAACCGAATAAATCATTCCCGATCTAAAATTTTTTACAATTTTTTAGGATTAATTTATAGAAAGCTAACGATAGCGTCATATAAAAGATTAAAAATATAATGAATAAATTAAATTTCAGAATAAATAAGATCATTAATATCTGCCTGGGCAAAGCCAAGAAGCACTGCGATCAATGCGAATACAATGAATGGGAGCAAAAATGAGCGACGTTCTGTTCGAATTCCGTGAACCAATAAAAGAACAAGAAGCAATTGTAACGTTACGGCAAACAGAAGTGAAGCTAAAATGCGACTTAATCTGAATGAAACGACGAGTGTTTCAGCTATTTATCAAACGGAACTATCAATATTAAAGCTTTGCCAAGGAAAAAATTTATAGAGTTAGTGTTGAAGCTACATGAGCCTTTTTTAATGTATTACATCTGGATATAATCATTGTACCCATTAAGTTCAGCATATAGCAAGAGCAATCAAAAATTAAAGCAGTCCCGGATAAAAGTGCAGATCCAAAAGAAAAATTCTTGTCACTTACAAATATATCGTTCACCCAATTGATTGATCCAGTGGTCTGGCGTTAGTCGTCCATTAACGGCCTAGATAAATGAAGATTTACCAACCATAGAACGTATTTTACTCATTTATAATATATCTCAGATTAACATCCAAAAATTTTCATATTAAAAACCATCTCAGTAGTTTAATATCAATCTTAAACCACTGATGCGCTTTACCGTAAAGTTATGCATAGTAGGAGTGTTGGATGTTTTACGATTATGTTTCACTCACATTTGATCAACGAAGAAAATTACAATATTTATATGAAATGAACTTTATCCATATATAGTGCAACTAACCTGCACATAATAAAAAGTGAAGAAAAGCGCAAAAACGAATGTGATTAGCATTTGAGCATAGGCAATGAAGAGTGATGCTCGAACAACATGAAATGTACGACAGCAACATTTATATTTATCCGCATCTGCATTCCAGAAATCATCCACATTAACGTCACCCATGCGCTGATCACCATCACTTACACCTGTTCGGGTCAATTTCGACATCATGTAACTGTAAGAGACGATATGAACTTTGTCGTTATTCTCAGAAATGCATAATAAAGCGCAAAGTTGAATTGAAAACAAAAATTGGTCAACAGCAAGAAGAACTTTAAAGACCTAACACAAAACGTTACAGCCCAATATCGATTAAAAAAATCAACCGAAATAAATGAAATAAATCAACGATATTCAAATTAACCGAAATAAATGAAATAAATCAACGATAACTCTTTAGAAGATTATTTCATAAACAAATGAATATTCTTTATTTCTTATCACTTCGACACACATACACAATCGGATAATCGACATGACAAATAACTTGGTTGTAATTTAATTTTGAAAATCATAGCCAATACTTGAGAGAGAGAGAAAGAAAAAGTGTGAATAATGTTCAGTAATCATAAAGAATACATGATTATTTTCTTAACAGAATGAAAAAAACACGATAGCATCAAACAACTTTTACTGATAGTACGAAGGATTTAAATTCTTTCTTTCGAAGTGGATAACAACGCTCTCTGAGAATAGACTAAAGTAATTTCACTTCCAATTTCTAAACAACATTAAATGACATTAAAGTGAACGAGTTAACTCCCATCAGGTGACAAACGATAAAAAATTCTTTATGAATCCATAATTTTGTACGTCCACGCTTTCCCCATGGGAGAGATTCAACGCAATCCTTTTTTAAAAATCAGCAACGTCTGTATAATTTAGATGGTCAGTTTATGATGCAAAACCAGCTTGTAACCATGGCAGCAATTTTGCATTAATGGTTAATCTACTGAAAAGTAAACTGTCTCTCTCTCTCTCTCTCTCTCTCTCTCTCTCGATGTATATGAAATAAGCATGGAAATGCTATTTGAGAGATGGAATAGATCACTTTCAATAAAGAGATGGAAAGTTAGGTAAAATTCACCATTTTTTTCAGATGTATATATTTGATGTTAAGTGAAGCAAAGATTTCCACTGAAAATGCAAAAGCATAATGATGTTGATGATGGAAAAACCGAAAACTGAAATGAAAAAGATGTGGGAGGGAGAGGAGGGAGAGAATCCATCACGCCTTCTTGAGAGATGTTGAGATAAGAGATCACAGATACACACATACACACAGACACATACACATGCTGATGATTTTTCGGGGGAAAAATTTCAAAGGATTTGAGGGAACAGCAATTCCAATTAGGCGCCAATTATGCCATACTTTTTTTGACGAAGCTGAGCATACGCCAACGGTTGAAACAATACCACTGCCGGATTTCTTCAAAGTTATGTTCTCTGTTTTATTCATGTTATTTACGCATGATGTCACTTAAATGACGTGAAATTTCAGTACAAATTTATACTAAACATCGATGGGACAGTTGCGGCATATCGCTTTCCTTTTCTGCTGGCTGGAGATAGCGTTGTTTTCAAGTCGTTCTCTGATTATTACGAGCACTTTTACATCGACCTCGAGGAAGGATTGCATTATTTCCATTTTAATGATTCCACTCTCATTGAACAAATCAAATGGGCAAGGACACAGGATCACAATAAGGTTACTTTACTTACAATGCAACCAACCATTCTTTATCTAAAATGAGCGTACTTTTTACTTATCAGGAAAAAGGCTTAGCTTTTTACTTTCTAAAAGATTCAATTGAGAACGTGGAATATCTGTGCTGTACTGCATTGAATTTAAATCTGCCATATCAAGCTTTTCATTCTATAAGAAGCGCATCATTTCTTACTTTTTACAAATGCGCTTCTGCCTGTTTCAGACATTAAATGCAATGCATGAATTTGTGCTGCAGCACCTTCAACCTCTCGATATTTACTGCTATTATGCCGATTTTGTGCAGGTTACTTCCTTATAAATTCTAAATTAAATTCTCGAAGCTAAGTTATTTCTCTCAAAGAATTTGCAGCACCACGAGTTTAACTGTAGTACTAAATTTGCTGAAATTTGTGAGTAAACAAATTCACTACCAGTTATATTTTAATTTCTAATTTTTGAATCGCCAAAGAATCTGAAAATTTTGCACTTCCTTATCAAC